ATCCACCCTCTGTGTGCTAAAGGGGCCTCCTTGTCAGATTTGTAGGGTCATTGGGTGGCTCACTTTCCCACACCGTCACCTGACATCTCCATCAGCTTCTTTCTTGCCCTTCCTTCCCTTGTCTGACTGTATGGAATTGGTAGCTCTGACCCTGGCCCCTAGCTCTGCCTCACATAGTCTCATCCTGCACATGAAGGAGAAGAATCTGGAACACACAGGCTTCAGCACAGAAAGTTGGCTCATCACCATGATCAGCTCCAAGGCCTGAGTCTATGCAGCTGTGGAATGACCTTGTTTTACCAAGAGGAAACAGAACGTAGGAGCCTTGTCCAGGCAAATATTGTACCCAAAGACGTGTAGGTAGGAGCTTGGTTGGGCTGTATAAGCTGATTGTTGCAGGAGAATTGCACTGACAAAGCAGAGGTGACAAGCCAGTGCCTAGGTGGGCAAAGCGACCTCAGATAGTTCTGCTTCTTCTTTGGACTCCTAAGAAGGCACAGAATGGCCTCTGAAGCCATTCTGGATGCCACTAACCCTCACTCCAGACTGGAGTTACCATGACTGCTGTCCTTGTAGAACCAGCCCAGCGTTGGTGTTGGAGTGGAGAGCAGGGAGCTGAAAGCTGGAACTGGAGACTCTGGCTTCACTAAGGAGATGCATGCTTGAGGATTCCATGAATGGATACTAAGAAGGACATTTGAGTTTTTATATTACGCAATTAGATCTCCAAACTTCCCTCTTAGGCCTGCTATGTATCTCGTGGGTGTGGGATGTTTTCATTTTCATTTCATTCTAGGAATTTTAAATTTTCCTTCGTGTTTTCTTCAGTAACACATTCACCTCAAGATCATGATTTTAGTCCCCATGAGACCATATATGTGCTATGTCTTCTCTGGCTGTCGATTTGGATCCCCATTGCAATCAAATAAAATGAATTATTTCACTTTTTTCTGTATGTAAGTTTTCCTGTATGTTGCTGTAATGTGAGTTTGCCATTTCTAAATTCTCCAACCAATGCAAAGTTTTTCAATGTAATCATGTTACCTGGTTTGTTGTGGGAGGGAAGCAGTAAGAAAGTGACACCTCCTGTCTCCCACCAATCCCATATCCAAGGAAGATCTCACAGATGACCTTTTCTGAGATGTAAGATGACCATGTGAGTGTTGTTAAAAAGAAGCAAAATGGTATTTAGTGGCGGGTCCTCAGAGGAGGCTGACACATAAATCCCTTCAATGAGATTTATAATAATGAAAGGGCCTCAAGGTCATGACCATACCTTAAGGTGGGAGGGAGAGTTTCAGACAGAAACAATACAACATATACAGATATCTAAACATGATGGCGCCTTAAAAGGAAGGAGAAGCTTCTCTTCAAAGCCTGGAAAGGAGCTTCATTAAGAGTGAGAGGAGTTAGGAAGATGTTCAGCAGTTAAGAACACTGGCTGCTCTTGCAGAGGACCTGGGTTCACATGATAGTTAACAACTATCTGTAATTCCAGTTCCAGGGAATTCAATGCCCTCTTCTGACTTCCACAGGCATTGGGTGCATGGGTGAGTTTACATACATGCAGGCAAAATACCCATACACATTTAAAAGAGGGTAAGCATGAAAAAGAGACACACAGAGGGGAGAGGGAGAAAGAAATGGAGGGGGGAGGGAAGAGAGAGAATCCATGAGGAGAGAGATTTCAGAGACTGACATCTTCAGATCTTGAGAGAGCATCTCTGGTCCTAGGCCCCCAGCAGTCTCCTGAGGAGGCTTGGACAAATCTCCTAAGTAAAGGTCCAACTTTAAATAACTTTTTCTGGTGGTGAGAAGATCCACATCATGTGACTTAGTTCAAAACAACACATGTGACAAGGAGCATGGGGAATCCATAAATTGAAAGCTGTCAAGTCACAGCACAGACATTATAACTTCTGTCCTAGACAGAGCTACAGGGAGGTGTGATCCTATCAGGCTGTGGATCAGGCCTGGAGGTGTGGTTCTAAGAAGTGTGGCCCTCACAGTGTCTGCAGATGAAACAGCATTAAAGCAATGTCAGAAGATCCACCACTGAGGAATCTGCCTGGTCCTCTTCATATCCATCCCAAGTGATGGGTGGCCCAGGGCACAAGGTTCTGTATATGACTGGTTCTGCTTCTCACAAAAATGAGCCAAGGTGCCACTTCACACAGTAACCAATGAGGGGGTAGATTGCTTCATTTCTTCATTTTGAGGCAATTTTGATATGGATTCAAGATGGCCTAGGAATCGAATCCTTCTGCTTCAGTCTTAGTGTTGGAATGAATAAGGATGAGCTACACTGCAACTGGAGGAAAACTGATACATACAGTCATCTGAGAGAAAGAGGAGAGAGAGAGAGAGAGAAAGAGAGAGAGAGAGAGAGAGAACAACTGAAAAAGAGAGAAAAGGAAAGCACAGGCAGGCTTACTGGCTTGCTCCCCTGGCCTATACTCAGCCTGCTTTCTTACACAGTTCAGAACAACCCGCCCAGGGTGGCACTGCCCACCGTGGGCTGGGCCCTCCCACATCACTCAACAATCAAGAAAATACCCCACAGATGTGGCCACAAGTCAGTCCAATGGAGGAAATTCCTCAACTGAGGCTCCCTCGACCCAGGGGTGTGTCAAGTTGACAACTAAAGCTATCCGGCCCATAGAACAAGACCCTATACAGAAACAAAACAATACGAAAAACAAAGGAGAAACAAAACAGCACACTGCGAAGAAAAATTAAAGCAAAAATAAAAACTCAGGGAAATATTTACGAGACACGACAACACATCATCCAATGTAATCCTAGTGAAACACAGCGTATGTCCAAGTGTAGGTGAGGATATGGAACAACTGGCATCTCATACATGGCAACAGGGGATGAAAATAACACAACCACTCGGGAAGGCAGTCTGGCACAGCCTTTAAAAGTTAAAGATACACACTTGTCACAGGACTCTGCAATTCTATACATCTGTCTTTACTGAAAGATTTGAAAACATGATCACTCAGGTTACGTTTCCAAATGACCATAACAGTTTGATTAAAACAGCCTGGTGTTGCACGTCTGTGATTCCAGTACTGCAGAGGCTGAGTAGGAGGACGGTGTGAAGTTTATTGAGCATCAGGAAGGGAGAGCCGAAGAGGAGAGCAGTGCAAAGTTTGCTGTGACTGGGATCAAGATCGATGGTCACCATGACAACAGGATGGGCTCATTGTTCTTCTCTTGCTTATGTACAAGAGAGCATGGCAAAAAGAAGGGGACTGTAGGGGAAGCAGCTATGAGCTGCCAACCTGGGCAATGCCAGTTGTTTGACTCTGTGTTTTTTGTAGGACCAGGAAGCCTTCAGCTGCAGTTGGCAAATAAATGGCAACAAAAAACAAAACAAACAAACAAAAATTTTCACCAGTGGAAGACTAAAAGGTTGAGGCCCTATGCAGACTGTTTGGTGGTGTTCACTTAACTCCTGGTCTCAACAGGAGCTCAATAATACATTCAGGTCACAGTGACAGCTCTGCTGAGCTGCCGACACAAGGCTGAACATTTTCTCTCTATGTTCCCTGGTGTCGAGGACAGGTAACACAGTAATCTTTGCTTTCAACCTAAAGGTCATGGAATTCAATGGAGTGGGTGACAAAAAGGACCTTTCCCAGGACAAACTGGCGAATAAGAAGTGCAAATTGTTTGGAAGTGCAGGGAAAGGGAGATCCTTGAGAGTAGAAGATAAAAGCCCATACCTTCTTAATAACAGAGAAAAGACTTTGAAAGAACAAGAAGACAGATGGAGCACAATTTGGTGCACTTCTAAATGACATAAAATACAAGAGACTCTGTATTGGTGTGGACGAAGACTTCAAGGGCAACACTATCGTAGGAATGAATGTTGAACATATGGACAATCAAGAAGAACAAGGAACAATTAAGGTATCAGGAAATTTCAGGAGAAATAAAAAGCGGACAGACCTTTCCATATGTGGAGACACCCTCAGGGGTCCAGGGAAGGAATTTTTCTGCTACCTATTGACGACCCCCATTGTACTTCCAAGACAAACCCCATTGTCCACCATCTTCACAGATGTGTTATGCTTATACAAACATGGACTTCACAGTGTCTGCAGGACTCCAGAGAGCAAGAGAAAACTTCAAAAAATGGGTCACTGAGAACCTACTTCAACCTGCTGGCCAGCCCCCTTGT